GCTCCGAGCTCAGGCAGCGGCTGACTGCGGCGCTCGGGGACTCCAGCGCCGCGCCGCCGACTCCGCGTGCGCCGCTACTGCGCTCTGGCGCTTCGTCGCTCCCGGCAAACTTCGGCGGGGCGCACCTTTCCCCTCCTCTGCGGCGCCCGAGGGGCTGCTGGGGGACTGGAGCGGTGCCGGCCGCTCATTAGCCCCTCGTCCCGCTGGCACAGAGCCTCCCACCGCCATTCATGGGGCTTTCCAGCCGGGCTGAATACCTTTCCTAAGGACCCTAGGGACTGAGATGCAGCCAGTCATACCAGCCTTTAATTTCCCTGGTCAGGAGAGAAATGGAGAAAACAGCCAAGAGGCAGCACCCTGATGTGCAATTTTGTGTTCTCCAACGCCAAGGGCCTCCAGTGCCCTCAACCTCCTCTTTCTCTCAGTTTAACTCAGTCCCTCTTTCCTGTCACTAGTCAGCTGATAACTAGTCGGTCCCCTGCTGCTAACAGACATGTCAGGATGCTCTGAAGACTAGGAGTCTAGTCATTTTTATCATTCTCTTTAATAGTGTGTAAAGAAAGATTCATGTAGACAGGACCTTGAGAAGGGGAAATTTGCCCTTGCTTTAATTGTCATCATAAAATGTGTAGTTATCCAAGAATTTGATTACAATTCTCTCACATAAGGTATTGTTAATTTAGGGTTGGTCTCCCCTCCACTTGCAACAGGTGCAAATCAATGGATTGTGACCTATTAAAGTTAGGACATGTTAAGGAGATAATCCTCACCTGAAAGGAAACATCACAAGACTAAGAGGACACTTAATACATGCTAGTCTGCTTGCTCCCTGCAACTTTTTTTCCTCCAGTTTTTGCTCCCAGGTGTACTGTTTGAGTGTGCACTCGGGAAGAATTAACTCTGGAGAATCAGCTCCAGAGTTTATTCATGCACAGCATGTGGAGCCTGATAAGAGCAGCCCCAGGTGGCATGGGGTCCCTGGGTCAGCCTGCCAGCCCAGAATTGCTCTGACCAGGCTCAATGTGCTGCAGAGGAGCTGGCAGAGGCACAAGTGTACTTCAGTGCAGAACTAGCTGGCAGGCAGCCCCTGCACTGAAGCGCTGTAGTGCCCCAGCCAGTTGGTCAGCACATGCACTGCTGCTCATGCAAAAATTCTGCAGCAGCATAGTGCATGTATTTAAGTACTACTCTACTGTGGAATTCATTAGTTTCCTGCACTCTATTTTGCATTTTCACAGATCTGCATTTTGCATATTGGCTTCTGTTGCACCCAGGAGAGCACAAACACCAGACTTTCCCTATGCCTGAAAAAGGGTCTTTGTGCCTGACAGCTTGCAAAGAAATTCTCTCTCCAAGTATTTAGTTAGTCTAATGCAAAATACCACATTTACCCAAAGAACCTTGCTTGCACTCTAATTGGGGCACATGTGTAGACATGGAGACATTTACTGCAGAGCTAATGAGTCAGCTCCGAAGTAAATGTCTCATGTAGATGCACCCTGTTTATAACAGCCCGACCCATACATTGATTTTAATGGGTGAAGGTTTAAAGCCTTAGAAATCATATCAATTAATACATCAATAGTGTGTGTCTACATCCATGAAACCATGCAATTTAGTTTGCACCAAACATAACATGACTTGTAAAATACACAGTAATGGGCAGAAGGCAAACTCTGTTTAACATAACATTTTTATTTTAATTAAAAGTGGTAAAAACTATTTCAAAATGTGCATATGAAAAAAATCTTTTGTCAGTATTTTGCAGAAGAGAAAAGGGAAATTCTGTGACAATTCTCTCTAAAAATCTGTCCTATTTCTCAGCCATTTCCAATGTCTGGGATTTTATTGGGCTCTGCCATAAAAAACTGTATCATATTATGTAATTTTCTTCTATGAAGATTAAACTAGCACTTTGAATGAACCCCTGGTTTAACTGAAGATTAAACACCACATGTCAAATTGTCTGGACATCCAGATGGCACTTGAACGTATAAGGCCTTTTGTACATTACAAAATTTTGATATGTTGATCACTTTCTGGTCCCTTTCCTATGCTTACAATGTACTAGCACCAGGGGAAGAGGGCTGCACTGGTACACTTGTACCCCACTTTGATTCCTGGTCCACTCAAAGGTTAAAAGCAGCTGCTTGACAACGGTAGCAGCATTTCTCATTTGGTAGTGGTGTTGACGGAGTTAATTGGCTTCATGGCTCAGTATAATCTACCTGATACCTTGTAAAGGCTTCATTGTCCAGGTGTTATTGACCCTTTTTTCTTCTTGATGTTCCACCAATCAAACTACCCTTTGTTCTGCAATTCTACTGTCAGTTAGCTGGTCTGAGTAATGAAGCTCCTATTTCATAGCAGTGCAGATTATTCTATAATGAAGTTCAGGATCCTAATGATCGAGTTTAGGATCCTGAAGAAAGGAAGAAGAACAGCAGAGTAAGGGCCCTGGACTTCAGTTCCCAGAGTGAGTTGAAGCCTGCTTTTCCGATGTGCAGGATCCCCTGGGAGGCCCGTCTGAAAGGGAAAGGAGTCCAGCACAGCTGATTGTGCTTTTAAAAAACCTCACTGAGGGAACAGGAATGAAGTGCAAGAATAGCAGCAAGTATGGCAACACCAGGTTAGTCTAGCAGGGAAATCTTCATTGACCTAAAAACACAAAAAGTAAGCTTACAAGTGGAAACTTGGACAAATGACTAGGGAGGAGTACAAGAATACTGCTCAGCATACCAGGATGAAATCAGGAAAGTCAAAGTGCAATTGGAGTTGCAGCTAGCAAGGGACATGAAGGGTAACAAGAACAGTTTCTACAAGTATGTCAGCAACAAGAGAAAGATTAGGGAAAGTATGGGTCCCTAACTGAATGGGGGAGGCAACCTAGGGCACTTATACATGTGATGCCCAGACGATGTACACATGACAGAATTTTTCTTTTGTGTGGCTTAATGGTGTCACACACACACACAAGTTTTTTGCAATTTAAATGAGTTTACATCATCACAAACTAAATCACATCCTGACGTAGTTAGTTTGAGTGATGCAACTTGGAGAGGTGCAACTATTAATCTGTTATGTGTGTGTGTGTGTGTGGCAGGTCACTGAATGACATGTAACGAGCCCCTTTGTCCTTTGGGTGTTGCTACAAATTTTGTATAGTGAGCCCCCCCTAGTCCACCAAGCGTTACTACAATTTTCAAGTATTTGTATGTAGTGAATGTTTTAGGACACCAGGTGTAGCTGCAGAACCCAACATGAAGCAATCTTTTGCTGACTTATTATTTTATTAAATAAAAAATTCAAAGACACCAATCTGTTGTTGTCATCTCCTATTTCACTTGGTTCGTCTAAAGGGCCCCAGGGTGTGTTGGAGGGTTGCAAATTGGAGTGATGCTGGGCTCTTTTGGAAATTGATCAGTGCGTGTTAGATGTGCTTCTTTTTCCATTATTGGGAATAATGTGCATCACAGCAGGGTCCTGCAGGAGGGCCGTGATCCCCTCAAGGCCCCCTTCCTATGCCCAGCTGGCCCAAAGGGCACCCTCACTTCTTGCCCACCATGTCTTTGATGGAGATTAAATGTATGGGAGGCTGCCTTATGTCCTCTTGGACACGGGGTGTTATAATATCTGCTCCATGAACTCCCAGACCCCTTGTGGGTCCCGCTCTGCAATGGGTGCTTCAGGGGTACCCTAGCCTTACGGGCTATGCATGGCTCCAACCACCTCTTTAGCATGCCCCAAGCCTTGCAACTGGAATAGATGTTGTTAGGTCTAGGTCTACACCCTCTCTGGCGCTTGGGCTCTCCGCAGCCCTGTCTCTCTCTGTGCCCCCTTCTCTGGGGCTTCTCCACAATGCTGCCCCCTTCTCCTGGGGCTCTTCACTGCCCCTCTCCTTTAGGGCCTCCTCAGTAAAGCCACCCCCTCTCCTCGGGGCTCACCACAGTGCTGCCCCCCTTCTCCAGGGGGCACTGCACCCATACTGGGGATTCTCAGCAACACCCCCTCTCTAGAGCTAGGGTCTGTGCACCCCAGATGCTGCACCCATACTAGTGTTGGGGTTCCCACACTGCTGTGGGTCCCCCTATGAGGCCACCTCCAACCCCTAGTAGCCTCACCCAAACCACTGATTACAAACAGCAACACCAACACAAGCCCCTTGGCTATAACATAAACAGAAGCTGCTTGGCCATACCAACATTCAAGCCTACCAGGGAATCTTCATCTCACAGCCATGTCAGATGCTGTACCCACATCAGGCTTCTCCTCTCTCCCATGACAGAAAGCTCTTTCTTCCTTAGCTACTGGCAGGGAACTGCCTATGACTTCAGCCCCTAGGGTTTATAAGGGAGCCAGGCCCTGCCCCTTTCAGTCAGCTGACCACTGGCAGGTGTGATTGCTTGTTAGCTCCAGTTGCCCTGGCAACCAACAGCTGGGCTCCTTATAGTAAGGTGCTTTCCCTAGCCGTTTCCCCTCTTTAGGAGCAGGACACCTAAGTGCTCTGTGACAATGTGATGTGTGGTACCCTGACCCCCACAGCACTATTATAGAAATATTGCATAGTGAATTATGCTGTTGAATTCTGGACACCTAACTTGGGGTTAATGCTGTGAGTGGTGTTGCAAAGACACTCAATGAAATGCATATAGCCTGTGCTGGCAAAAGGTATATCCTGTTCCCCTAATTGGGGGTTTGGGGCTACTGCACAGAATTAATAACCAATTGCCCACTTCACGTGAGCTGCCAAGCATGGTTTATTTGCTGTTAAAAGAAGTAAACAGGTGCCCAATCTCAGGATGACAGATACTAGCCTGCAGGTATCATAGCATTTTTCGGTGTGCAGACCCTTCCCCTCCCGTGTTAGGATGGTAAACCCTTGCATTTTCCCACCCTTTTTTTCTCTGCCCTTTTTCCTGATGATTTCTTGCAGCTGATGCATTGCTTACTTATGCTTGCTTTTTCCCACCCTTCCCCTTGCCCCCCACCCTGGCCTTTTCCTCTGCTGTTTGCAATCTGCTCTTTCTCCCACTCTTTTCCCTTGTTGATTTGTGCTGAGCCTAAACACTGAAGGGTCTTGGTTTCAAGTTAGAGATTTAACCAGGCATTGTTTATTTAGGGGCTTTAAATGGTTAATTGTGTGTCTAATTGTTTGACTATTTGTTTAATTGTGAAGTAGAAGAACTTAAACCAAACAGGGAAGGGAAACCAATGGTATATTGAAAATATTAAAAAAGGCTTTTGAGAACTGTAAGTGACCAAAGACAGTAGGGGTGAGGTAGGGGTGACAACCTCATGTGGGCACAGAAAGGAAAGTTTCATGATAATGACCTAATGCATAGGCAATTTCATGTGTCTGCGGTGTGTGTGGCCGCTCCTCTGTTTGGTGGGGACCCGCCTGAAGTTGCCTCCACTCCAGTAAAGCTGTTGAACTCAGTGTGTGCTTGTGTTTGCCTCCTGCTCTGCTCTGACTAATGAGTATCAGGATCCCATGGGCAATTGGTTTCTCGGATTTCCTAGTCGTTGGGCCTCACATGGAGTTGAGGTTTAACATCCCCCAAAGCTGACCCGCAGTTCCAGGATGGCAGACACTTTTCCTGGTTTGCCCTGGTAGTATCTTATGGAAACAACCCTGATGAACCCCTGCGCCTCTGCACCCTGCACCTCTAAAACATCCCTTTTCAACTAGCTGCAGAGTAATTGTCACCCTGATACCATTAATTTGCTCACTGCTTTTACATGAACCCAACAAGTGGAGTTCTGTGAACCCAATCATAAGCCTTAGGTGCACCCACTTTATGAATTGCAGGTGAGTTCTGACATCATTCATTCCCTCACTGACTGTCTCAAGTACTCAGCATGTCCCACTGAGAGCAGTGTCTTGATACATGATGGGTCACTGAGCAGCCTGCTACTATGCCATGGCATACACAGGGGTAAAGGACCTAGCAGGTTTTGAAGTTGCTCTGATCTTGAACACTGTCAATCAACATCAGACCCCTGATAAGCTTGATGCACTCAGAGGACCCACTCAATTAGTGCTCTGAGCTTGATGGGCTCAGAGAGCCCACTCAATTAGCTTTCCCTGCATTAACAAAATTCTGGGCCAGCCCACCACCACCTGACCTTAGTTTGGCCTCTGTGTTATTCTCTGGTCACAATTATAGAAGTCCAGGCCTTGAAAGCACCCCTCTGCCCCCAAATTCCCCCCTTGGGTGGGGTGGCTGGGAAATGCTGCATACTCTGAGGAGATTTTATGGGCGCAGTGCAGCAGCCCCGATTACTGCTCACCACTGTATCCCGTGGTACCCACATTCTGAGTAAAACTCCACCCCCCCCCTCAGTACAGAGGTGGGCATGTCCTCTTGCATTAGTGCAATGTGTCTGTAACAAACCTGTTTTTCTTTGATTTGGCTTACCCTCCCTCCCTCTACAACCCATGCCTCTACAACCCTTGCCATGTCAGCAGACAGACATGGATCAAAATTCATTTAAGTTTTACGAAAGCATTTATTTTACTGTCATTAACCAAAGCAGAACCAAAATAATTCAGGAACATGCCCACTCCTGATTTGCTGCAGAAGCATCAGCACAGCACTAAACAACTAAAAACCCATCACTTGTGATAGGTTCTTCTTCTCCCCCAGTGCCCCCTCTGTCTCACCCTCCTCTTAATCCCTAAAGCGTTGTGGCACTTCTCCTTGTCCTGCTAAAGTAGGGCACCACTTGCTTGCAGGCACAGTGGCCATCACTGAGGTTGTTGCTATCGGGGACTGATCATGGATAGGGATCTCTACGAGGGTCAGTTCACGGATAGGGGCACTCACAGTGGATGTTGCATGGGTGGTCTAGGGTGGAAGGGGCAGCTCTTGAATGAAGGCTGCGGTCATGCATCTAAGGAGCTTTTGTCTAAACTTGCTCTCCATTCACTGGCTCCAGGTGATAATCAGACAGCACTTATTGGCCAGGTCAAGGAATTCCATTATGGTGGCCATGATATACTTTTGCACTGATGCCTCTCCCTCTTCAACCTTTCTATACACCTCCCAGGGTTCATCCTACCATTCATCTGTGGATTGTACTCACAATTTATAGGCTGCCCCCAAAGCCTCCATCTTGCTTTCTCTTGATTATTGCTGCCTGCGGCAGTGTTCACTCATTTGCTCAGCTCCAGTCCATGCTGGTGTCCACACTTCAGGCTCATGTCCCCACCATCCAGAGGATGCAGTAGCTGGTAACAGGAATGCGGGGGAAAAATGGTGTTCATAGTCAAAGATCTTGTCCCCACTCCCTGTAGCGGATGGACTACTGGCAATCATCTAGCAGCATCCCTGCCACTTGGTAAATTAATTCAGCCACCTGCAAAGGATGATTATGCAGGAACCCAGATGTCTTCCTAGTCCACTAAGGAGTTCATTGTACATTTCTCAGCAGCACAAATTCCGGCTGCTAAACAAATTAACACTCCCCCCTCAAGCAACTTTTAGAGAGGGCTCAAGATGTCCACCCCATGCAAGCAAAAGATAGCACAACTGCAAGCAGTGGACATATTTGCCATTTACAAAATTAATGCCCTCCCTCCCACCTCACCACGCTTGACCCTGGTGCAAAGGCAGGGCTAGATCCACATAAGCCCTACTCGCCCAAACCAATCTAATGCCCCTTCCCCATAACTTACAAGTCCCTGGGTGTGGGTCCCTGGGTGTCTCCAGCACTGACACTGATCTTTGGGTCTCTGGAATTTCTGGTGTGTTGCACAAATCTGGAGACAGTATCATCATGGAATCTGATGCACCCTCTTCCTCTGGGTTATGCAGGAAAGCATCGGGGAGAGTAGGGTATCGGTCAAGACAATTTCATCTTGGTTCTCCCTATCCTGCAGCTGCTTCAAGGACTCGTCCCCTGCCTCCGACTGGTTTCCTGAAGGCTGACCAGTGCATATCGCACTGCCTGTGGCAGTGGCATGACAGTCTGTGGAGTCTTGCGGGCTAGGTGACACTGTGGCCTCCTGCACTCCTGTTGTGCTGAAGGATGGGAGGCAAGCATTGCCCACATCTTTCATGAGAATGCAGGACAGCTCCTCATAGAATGGGGCTACTGCACGTCCTACCCCCAAACAAGAATTCTGATCCTTAGCCCAATGAAAAGCACATTTCAGGGCCTTCATCTTGCTGCAGCACTGTGCCCAGTCCTGGCTGTGGCCACACTCCTTCATTTCTTCAGCAATGAACACATAGACGGGCTTATTTAATCAATTTTCCAGCTGCTCCAGAACATTTCAGTCCCCCCAAATATCAATCAAATTTGCCAGTTCTTCCCAGGCCCAGTTGGGGCCATGGCTTTGAGATGGTTCTGACTGCTGCTCCATGCTTGGCAGACATGGCTTGTTCTTCAGCACCTCTATTGAGTACATTTTCAGGGCCAAAATGAGAGGCGTCGCTATACTCTGACCAGAGTCACGAGATGCTTTCTGCCTCTGGCTGAGAGCAGCTATATAAACATGCTAATAGAACCTTTGAAGGTGTGAACTGTCTCAAAGTATCAGTACCCAAATTGTCCCCCAGTCAGCCCCCAGCCTATACTGGTGCATGGGATTGTTCCATCCGAAGTGTAGTTTTGGGCCACCCATGACAGAAAGGATGTGGACACATTGGAGAGAGTCCAACAGAGGGCAACAAAAATGGTTAGTGGGCTGGGGCACATGACAAAGAATGTTTAGATTAGATATTAGGAAAAAACTTTCTCCCTAAGATTTAGTAAAGCATTGGAACAGGTTACCCTGATAGGTTGTGGAATCTCCTTTCTTGCAGGTTTTTAAGACCCGCTAAACAAAGCTTTGGCTGGGATGATATAATTTTGACCAAGGGCTTGAACTAGATCATAGAAAATTAGGGTTGGAAGAGGCCTCAGGAGGTCATCTAGTCAACCCCCACTCAAAGGAGGATCATCTCCAACTATATCATCTGAGACAAGACTTTGTCTATCTGGGTCTTAAATATCTCCAAGGATAGAGTCCACAACTTCTATTAGTAATGTTCCAGTGTTTTACTACCCTCCTAGTGAGAAAGCTTTTTCCTAATATCTGACCTAAACTTCCCTTGTTACAACTTGAGTCTGTTGCTCCTTGTTCTGTCATCTGCCACCCTGAAAACAGTCTAGCTCCATCCTCTTTCAAACTCCTCTTCAGGCAGTTGAAGACTTCTATTAAATCCCCCCCTCAGTCTTCGCCTCTCTAGACTAAATAGCTCCAGTTCCCTCAGCCTCTCTTCATATGTCCCTGAACCATTTTTGTTGCCTTCCACTGAGCTCTCTCCAATTTGCCCACATGCTTTCTGACATGGAGGGCCCAAAACTGGATATAGTACTCCAGATGTGGCCTCACCAGTGCTGAACAGAGTGGAAGAATCACTCCCCTTGACCTACTGGCAACACTCCTACCAATGCAGCCCAGTATGCCATTAGCCTTCTTGGTAACAAGGGCACACTGTTGGCTCATGTTCATCTTATTGTCCACTGTAACCCCCAGGTCCTTTTCTGCAGAGCTGCTGCCCAGCCAGTCAGCATCCAGCCTTACTGGTGCATGGGATTGTTCTGTCCTCAGTGCAGGACTTTGCACTTTTCCTTATTGAACCTCATGAGATTTCTTTTGGCCCAATCCTCCAATTTGTCTAGGTCACTCTGAATCCTAGCCCTACTCTCCAGCATATCTATTACTCCCCCCCAGCTTGGTGTCATCTGCAAATTTGCTAAGGGTGCACTCTATGCCATCTTCCAGCTTGTTGATGAAGCTACAAAATAAAACCAGCCCCAGAACCGACCCCTGTGTTGCAGGGCACTAAGATGTGCCTATTCCTTAAGGGCAGAAACTGCCTAGAGAGAGAGGGCCCCAAGAGCCAGGCAGAACACCCACAGGTGCAGGTTGCCATGGCAGCAAGCTAATGAGGGAATTAGCTGGCACCTGCACCTGGTCAGCTGACCGGAAGGAGTCAGGGCCCTGGGCACATATAAGCCCCAGGGCTGAGGCCAGCAGGGGTTAGTTAGCAGCAGCTAAGGGGGAAGGAGCTCTCCTAGAGGAAGCTATGTAGAGATGCTTGACTGCCTATTCTGATGATGGTAGGATTAAGGGGCTATAGGAGCTCATAAGTGCTGGTGGGGAGGAGGCTCATTAAACTGAGAGAGAAGCTTGCCTTCTTAAGAGGGAGAATGTGGAGCCTGTTATTGTTGTGTTGTAGTCCAGGGGCTTGTGTTTTCTGTTTGTTATTTAAACCAGTGGACTGAGCTGAGGCTATTGGGGAGGAGGTGGCCTCATTGGGGCACATTATAGTGTGGAGAGCCCAGCACCAGAGAGGGTGCAGCATCAGGAGGCTGAGCTAAATAGAGGCCTCAAAAAAAGGGACACTACTATTTGCCAATTGCAAGACATGGGGCATGGTAAAGGAGAAGGTTTTGAACTATACATCTAGCCCATAAGGCTTGGGGGGGGGGGTATCATAAAGTACCTCCTGAGTGTAGAACCCAGTAATGAATCCAACAACTCGCAGGGTTTAGAGGAGTCTGTTGGACTGTGACTGAGCAGCAACCCAAGGACAGCCTCCTGATTCATTGTTTAAACCAGCAAGATGTGGAAGGCAAGATTAGTAGGTGCCCATAGGGTGGAGCAGGCATGGTCGCAGGGCCCTAGGGACATCACTGGGGAGGCTGTATCATGACACCTTGGTGCACTCCACTTGATACCAGCTGCCAGCTAGACACTGAGCCATTGACTACTCCCCTCTGAGTTGAATAATCCAGCCAGCTTTCTATCCACCTTACAGTTCATTCATCAAAGCCATACTTCCTTAGCTTGCCTTCAAGAACACTGTGGGAGACATTATCAAAAGCCTTGCTAAAAATCAAGGTATACCACATCCACTGGTCTCCCCGCATCCACAGAGCCAGTCTTCTCATCATAGAAGGCAATCAGGTTGATCAGGCATGGATTCACTAAGGGAAAATCATACCAACTATTCCTAAACAACTTTTTCTCCTCCAAGTGCTTAGAAGTGAATCCTTGAGGATCTGCTCCATGATTTTTTCTATTCACGAAGGTGAGGTTGACTGGCCAGTAGTTTCCTGGATCCTCCTTTTGCTCTTTCTTAAATATGGACACTATATTTGCCCTTTTCCAATCATCCATGACCTCTCCTGATTGCCATGAGTTTTAAAAGATGATGGCCAGTAGGCCTGGAGGAAGTAGCAAGTATTCACTTCATATTTGGATTCAGCCACTTTGGAGGACAGTAATTCGATTCAGAGATTTGAATCACTGTCCTGATTCATTTCAGCCAAATCTGATCCAAAAGATGTGGCGCTGCTTTGGATTCAGCCATAGACTGAACAGGCAGCTGACACAACTGTCTCCGGCTACTAAGTCTGTTGGGGATGGGAGAGGGAGGGATTGGGGCTGGAACAAGCAGCCCAGCTGAGGCAGGGGGTGTGCATTACTCGGGGAGCGGGAACAGGGGGCTGGGATGCAGGTGCAGCATTGCTGGGAGAGGCGGCTTTGTCCTGCTACTGTGTGCCCAGCTGGGGTGGGGGCAGGGGTGAGGTGGGATGCCTCCAGGCTGGGCAAGTGGCAGCAGGGCAGAGCTCCCACTCCCAGTGCTGATGTGGGTGTGGCAGCACTGCAAACAGTGTTTTATGCCCTGCTGCCACTTGCCCCCTTCCGCCCAGAGTGAGCTGCACCTGCATTGTACTCACTCCCTGCGCTGGCTGGACAAGTGGCAGCAGGGAATAGCCCCCACTCCCAGCACCTTCCACTGCACCCACACCC